TTATCCAAGTTCCTCTGTGTTCCGCATATTCGATAGTAGCTCGTTAGTGTAACTCGTTTCTTTCTCTTTTTGGAAGAGTTTGCGATAAATCTGTTTTTGCTCCTTGTACACTTTCTGCATATATACATTTTTTAATTAAATGGAGGGAAATGAACTGACCACGATGGTAGTTGTTTCTTAAATAATTTTCAGAAAAAAGTTATGCAGTGGCCTGAAAATATGTAATATTTAATTGTTTATTTAGAAATTTCTGTCTTTTGCAATTTTTTCATAACACATACTGGTTTGAAAGAAAAAAATAAAAGGTGACATAAGGAGTTGCGGAAATATAAAAAAAGAATCCACAACCCAATTAATCCTTCAAAAGCGGGTAATTTATTTATGCATTTTATTTATTTAGACTGACATTAAGAAATAGAACAGATTGCCTTAAACAGAATCACAAATCCTCAAAAAAATATTATATATAACACGACTTAATGAAATTTGAAATAGTCATTGTCACAATCCGTTAAAACTTAGTTTCTATTAAAAGAGCTTATTATCCAACTGCTACGGTGATGGCCCACGAGGAATATTCAAATACTTTCAAATATGAATACGAGCTTTTCGTCGTTTTGAGAGTAATAATTTTTGAGAATTTGTGATTCTCCTTAGCGCAATCTGTTCTATTTTGCAATATCAGTGTAAATAAATAAAATACAGGGCAAATAAAAGAAATGTTCCAGGCAAAGTTCCATATAGTGACAGATTTCTGAAATAATTTAATTTTGCAACTATGAACAGCTTATTTCGTTGAGAATTAAGCGAAAAATATTATGATTTGGAATTTTTGTTACATTACTTAGTTTCGGAACACAGTGTATATCGTAAGAGTGTATAAAAAACACTACAGTGTGCAATTTGAAATCAAACTTTGCCCCCTAATTATATAGTGCTGGTTAATTGCATCTCCCGGTATTTATGGGTTGTTTGCCGTAGAAATCATCCGGCACCGTGGGAAATAGTCATCCGGATTTTACACCGGGCTGCAGCTGCTGCGGTTTCCAGCGTGCTGATTCGGACGGATGGGTTTCTTTCCTCTCTCTCCACGTTTCTCCATTTGTTCGGTCACGCAAAAACCCCCCTTCCGCGTAATTTTATTTTGGAGTTTTGCCATTGTGGGGAGAAGTACACGACATCGGGCCGAGTAAAAGATCCTCAGATTTTTCTTTTCATTGTTAAACGGAAGATAGGAACCAAAACGATTGTTTGCTTATACGAGTATTTTCGGTCGTCTTGTTTTTTTTATTACATAACTCGTCCAAGGATAATAAACCACACTTTGTATAATATACGCTGAGGTGGGGCTGCTTTTATAATAATAATAATAATTATTATTATGTTTTTATTTTCGAACATAAATTTTACAAATGACGGGCGAGAAAGAAGTAAATAAATTTTCAAAAAATGGTTCAGATGAGAAACTCACAGGAGTAGCTCGCTGATCCACTTAACCAAGTCCGAAATTAATTAATTTATAAACTTATCCTAGGCCAAGAAGTGTACCTAAAATATATTTAAAAAAAAAAAAACTTTAAGTGATATAAGCAAGTAATTTAGAAAAACTAATATAAATAAATAAATTAATTAATAATAAGCTCTATATATCGCAGAAAACAAACTAGAAACTATGCATGTATGCGTTCCCAAATATTATTTTTATATATATTTATATTTATGTTACAATTTATATTTGTCGTTAAAAAGTCGGGCAATGTTAAAGGTAAAAAAAACTATGCTCACCTATGAAATGGTGAAGTGATCTTCCCCCTAAACCTGATATTTAAATTATTCCCATGCGTTCTGAACACAATGCGTCTCTATAAGTACGTAGGGAAGTTTATAATTTTATAAAAAAAGCAGGCAGAATGTAGTTCTCTCCTCCTCTCCATGCCAAGCCACCCTGTTTCAAAGGGTTTGTGTGAAATTGACTGGTACTTCCTTATTCCATGAATAAGTCTAAGACATGAAATTTTCTTTTATCAGAACTGTTTATACTGTTTGTGTAAACAACATCACAGTAATTGAATAAAGGTAGTTCGAAGGAGTCTTTACCTTTTTTGATATTAAGTGACGATTACTATATATATGTTTTATTGGGACATAAGTTCTTCGACCACGAGTATTTATATGTGCGGTAAATCTAAAAGAACCATCAAATACTAACCCTTCAAAAAGAATAAATAATATATGGGAGACAATACCCACTTAAAGGCATTAAAAATTGCCCACAAAGATCTCACAAACGAGTTGAAACCAATAAATGAAAAATACACCACAACAACCAAAATTATGTTCATTTTGTTAATATAAAATTTGTTTTTATTTTTTATTTAGTGGTAATAATTTATTTGGATTTTTAACATATCTTTTTTTACTCCTCTTTATAACCCGACGAACGTAAACGAGAAAACGTAACAAAAAACAAAAACAAAAAATATTTTCTTGTATAATTATGAAACGGTCCCCATTGCAAGTTTACCAAATACCAAATAACACACAAGACGTTCATAAACTTCTTCATTTTTTCACACCGTGTTGTTTATAAAACTTATTGCATAATACATTAAAATGTAATATATTCTATTAAATTTTCTTCCCTTAGGTGTTATTATAGTTGAACATATTACTATTATTTTCTTGGTTCATTTTTACCTTTTCCAGGAATGAAATGATTAACAAAACGACGCAAGTGATGTTATTTGTTATTTTTATATCAAAATCATTTTTAGGTCAACTATGTCATCAACTTAACCTAATTACGCTTCGAAAGTACAGTTTTATTTTTCTGATTCTATTTTATGTGAGCTGCTATAAAAGTCAGCATTGCTTTCAAAAATGAGCAAATCGAGTCCTTCTTCTTCTGGTTCCCAGAGAATGTTAGTTGGCCGTCATTCCCATATTTACAAACCAATTTCTGATGTTTTTGAGATGTTTTGAATTCAGCCTATGATTCGTAACAACTTTCGATGGTAAAATTGTTCAACCAACTTTGAGAATCTTGTAACCTATTTAATAAATTGATAATTTAATAAATAAATTTAAAAAAAGTAAATGATTTTGAAAATATCATTGAAAATTTATACATATAAATTTATATTTATAAATTTATATTTATAAATTTATATTTATAAATTTATATTTTTAAATTTATATTTATAAATTTATATTTATAAATTTAAATTTATATTTATAAATTTAAATTGTTTAGTTTTTCTCCACACACTATTAATGCCAGAACACGAGGACGATGAAAAAATAAAACGGCGATTCTTGATCCGGTCTGAATAATACAATCCGATTCGATGATTAAAGAAAATTGAGGGGAAAATATCTTTTCAAAAAAAATATATTTTCGGTCAACCGACCTCCGGGATTATCCGGGCAGTTCTCTTTATCGTCGCACACCGGCGGAAAAGGGAGTTATCGCCTGGCGGCCGCAACTTTCACCCGCAACTTATAAAAAATTCATACGTCGCTCTAACAGGATAAAGTGAAAAGTTCTCATCCAAACAAAACTTTAAATTCCACTTTTCCAATGAGAAATTTCAAATATACCCGAAGTATTGTCCACGCTTTGCAGTTTGCTGGAGCGTGGAAAATACCTACCCGTTCTGAGAAAGGAGAACCTCCGAAATCGAACATACAAAGGGAGATACTCAAAAAAAAAAGATAGATGGAAACGAACCGTCGACTTTCCTGTCCGAAAACTTGGAAATAGTTAAAATTCCGAATGGAAATAACACGTCGCCATTGTCGGTGTTGCGCTGAATATGTGCAGAAAATTTATTGCGTTTCTAGACCTACGTGCGGGAAATATTGGATTCCAAGTAGTGGTTTATGCGACGTGGAAATATTTAAAGCGAGAATTACGAAATGCCGCACAAACTTTTTGATTAAATTCACAACCCTCAAGCAATAAACATCGAGTCCGGCACTGGTATAATAAAAACCTGTCAAGCTCTGCAGAAGCCAACAGGATGATTGGCGAAACGTCAGCAATTTCGACTAAGCAAAAACCGACGCAGGAGGAATCCAGAAGTTCTGTAAAAACCATTACAGTAGGCTGTGGAAGTTTCTTTGAAAAAAAAAAAATTTGAACACAAGATAAACATAAACACTTATTTGAATGTTTTCTATTCGGTTATGTATTTAAAATATATTGGACTTCATGGCAAATAGGCGTATTCGAAATGAAATCATGGACTTGAGAAATATAAAATTTCTAGAAGCTCGCATAAATGGTGAGTTTCTAGAAATTATGAGCATAAGCCCTAATGTCAGTCCATTTCTCATTTTAAATGCTAATATTAATAATAACGTTTATTAATGAAAAACACATGATTATTTATGGCTGGATATTATGGAAAGGTAAGTTAAGTAAGTAAGTTAATTTGTTACAGTTATTCAAGAATTAAACAGAAACAGAAGAATCACATAAGAGGATGGCATATGGACAACATTATAGGAAATCATATTGCCGATCCTGAGGGCAATCTGCAAAGGCTACTTCATCTTTTTAATCAAAAACCTAAGCGAATAAATATGATAGATAGACATCTAAATACCTGATAAGATATAATGGATACAACAATCGTTGAACAGGTCAGTACAAGCACAAATGATGAAAGCTTCTTTTATTTAATATTATATTTGATCACTGACAGCAAAGCAAAGATAATATAAAGGCGCAGCCAGATCTATATTAACCTATGCGTCAGAGGCAAGGTCATGAAAATGAGGAAAGTATGAGGAATTTTTCAAACTGCAAACCAGCCCTTATTGAGCATCAAATTGCGCAACTTTGCTTCCATTTCACGTGCCATAAAGTAAATTTAACTATTTTATAAAACCTCTTATCGAAATACCTGTTGTCTTATCAGTATATATAAAAACAACGAATCACAGAGTTCCATTCCGTTACTACATGTTCTCTTTCAAAAGTAATTGAGACTCACCGTTATCTACGTTGTAGGCCATCATCCCGTTTCCGAGCGACCCCAAAATGGTCACGATTACAATAAACACCAACATGTCTGTCCACTACTACAACTGTACCCGCTGCGCACTACCGAATAACGAACATAACTTCAGCTCTCGCCACCAAAAATCGTGACGTTAGGTGCTCCCGTCTATCGTACCGACCATTCTAATAACCGTGCCACCCGCAGCCACCTAGATTTGATAAGACCGCGTCAGGACGCGTCGCCCGCCTAAGGTGACTGGATCCGAGTTATTCCTTAGTCTTTGAGCCGCTTCTGCAAACGTCCATCTCGACAGGGCGATTTTTGCAGAGTCGTCCTGGCTTCACGTGTACGATAAAGGAGTATTCGTGATGAGAAATTTTAATCAAACGGCCGATATGAAGGCGCTCTCCGGTCGCGATAGGATCTGACGTCGTCAGATCGCTTTTTAACGTGGGAGATTCGATCTGAAACAAAGGGGAAACGTTTAAGCACAGTTTTAGATAGACAGAATTGGATCCCTTCGCTGTTTTATTGCACTTTTGATTATTATGGGCGATTTTTCGCAATAGAGAATCGCGGCTTATCGTTGCGGTTGTTGTGCCCATATTTATGGGAGAAATATGTCCTGTTTGGATAAATCCCTTTTAAAATATTGTTTTATACGCAGAATATTTATTAAGTCTTTCTGACGAAATAAAAAAAAATGTTTTTCATGTTTTTTCATCATTGAAAAAAGGCTTAGTAAAAAAACTGTTCTTCAGAGAACCTTAATCGACTTCATAGAGCGAGAACTTAATTTTGCTAACACTACACTGCCCTGTAATTCCTACTATACTTATAACACCTTGGAATGTTGTTCCACTATTTGCACCTCATTTTTTTTTAACCAAAATGCATAAAACATAAGGCATTCATCCAAACTGCTATAAACCCTTAGATAGGTAGATAGATAGTTTTATTCACAAAGCCCAGTATGTATACAGTGGATGTTTCGTCAGGAAACGAGTACATTATAGAGTAGTATAAAGATACATCATGAATTATGTATATAAATAATACGATAACAGTACAGTATAGAACAGTTACAAACGGATATACAAACAGTACAAACATATGTAGAGAATATATCACTAAATTCATCAGGGCACTCCTGTAATATATGTTTCAAATTGTAGATAATGATTTTATACTTCTAGGAAGCAAATTATAGTAATAAGGTCCTGCGTAATTTAGCGACTTTTTGTAGAACATGTGGTTCAGTATTGGCTTTAGAAGGTGTTCTCTGTTTCGGGTGTTATAACCGTGGACATCCGTGTGTTTCTTGTGAGAGCCTTTATTTTTATGAACGATGATGCAATATGCAAGGCACTGTTAGTATTTTATTCTTTATAAATATAGCTTTGCGGGATAGCCTCGGGGGCAGTCTGAAAATCAACCTAAGTATCCTTTTTTGCTGAATGAACACCCTCTCCGCATCACTCGCTTGTCCCCAGTTTACGATATTATATGAAATAGACGAGTATGCTGAGGCGTAATAGAAAGTCAACAAGGATCTTTCAAAGAAAGAATCTCTGATTGTTAACATTGCAAGAAACGTTTTGTTTAGGAAGGCATCGATGTAAGATCCGAGAAACTTTGTTGTGTGGTTTAATTCCACGCGTGAACCCGCAAAGCTGAACGCTAGGTTAGTCAGAGGTTTAACATACTGACCAGTGAATTCGGTCGCAACTGCAAATTTATGATCAACTGATTTTGTTTGCAAAAATCAACAAACTGTGCCACAACACCAGAGAACCTATTGATCAGCTCCGGAGCTTCCCTTCCGGAGACGAAGATGGATGTGTCATCCGCGTACATAAAAACGCGGCAGTTGCTGTTGAGGAACTCAGGAAGGATATTCACATACAGAAGAAAACGTAGTGGACCTTAGAAATTATTTTTTTGGACCAGCTATTTTACGGAAAAACCAGTAATTTTTTTTTACAATAATTTTGACTTTTTGACAATTGACAACCAACAAACCAAAAAAACTTTATATTTTTTGAGAAAGCAAACTAATTATATTTTTACGTCATTTGGCGAGGCGCTATTTCGGGTAAGTTTGAAAAATCGGAGGAATTTCGAATACGTGTGGAATTTTATCTTTGACACTGTGACCGCACTTTTCGCGGTTTTCGATAGAAAACAATGCGGACAGTTTAAATTTCCATCGAACGAGTCTCGTTAAATTAAAACGATAGCAGCGAAAATGTAAAAAAATGACGTAACTTAATCTCCGGTGTGTATACGTTCGGGAATCGGCGAAAAACGAAAAAAAAACAAACGTTACGAAAACTAGAAACACACACCACCGGAAAAAAGTCCAAATACGCTATTAGTTCCGGGCAGAATGATGATTTATTATTCGATCCGGAATGTGCGCCAGACTATGCACAACGTTGATGGAATCAAATGAACATCGTTTTTTTTTACCCCCCCCCCCCTCCTTCCACACTTTTTGAAACTCCCGTACGCACGGTGTATTATTTACCGGAATTATTTTTATTCGCTTACCGGAAATAAATGGCGGGCACATTTTCGGTCGGGTTTTATGTCTACCCGAAACACCGACAGCATTTTTTGTAGAATTTGACTTTGATATTAACAACGATGGGCGGCTTGCGCTAAATATAAATCAAGCTCCACGGTGAAGGTTTTTGGGATTAACAGCACTGGAAACACGTTCCTCTCCAAATTTTTGGTTTAGTTACGCATCTACTATTAAGAAAATGCAAAATTAATTCTCCAATAATAGATAATTTATTTCATTTTAGTACCAAATAAATACCTTCCTTAGATCCTTAGATATACTGTCTTTGGGTATAATGAGATGGCCGCTTTTATCAAATCATAATTAAAACGAATTATATATTGGTAGGAAATTTTAACAATTGTAAGTGTATGAAGAATTTACCAAAATTTATTTTTTCCTTATTATAATTATAAATTCTATTTTTTGTACACTTATATATTTATATATTGAAAGCGCTATTTTTTGATAATTCTATTTATTTAGCCCAAAGCCAGAGCTTCCGAAAATCTTTTAAATACCAATAACAAATCTTTTGATCAATAGAAAAATGGTTACTAATCAATAACGTTTTTTTTAGTACGTTTTAATAAATTATTATATATAACATTATAAATAGGGAAGAGTGGGGCACGACGGCCAGAAGCTTCGCCAAAATTTGGTTAAAAACCAGAGAAAATAATAACTGACGAAATAACCAGCAGCAAAAAATTTCCGGATAAGATTTTTTGGGTATGAAAACTCCTTTCATCAATTTCTACACTTTTATGCATTTTTTTGTTAATTAAGTGCTCATTCTTATCGAGAGAAGCTCATATAGGATATTTTTGAAAACCTGAAAAACGGAATTATAGGGTGTGAAAAAAAATTTTTTTTTATAGCTGGTGAATTAACTTTAAATTTTAGTACATTTATTACTAACGTTGTTTTGTATTTTTCGATTGCTTTTCGAAAGCTTTCTGTTTTAAAGTTTTTTTTTAAATATTATAAGCTCACAATTAAATACATATAAAAAAATTAAAAATTACCACAATAAAATTATGAACCCTTTTTAAATAATTTGCTTTGACGACTCAAACGTAAACTAAAATTAATGGGCAACGACAGTGCACGGACAACCTTGTTTGGGGTGCAACAAGATTGTATGTTTTGAAGCGCTTTAACGGTCCTTAATTGAAAGCTTTTAAAATTAGCAAAAAATTGAGAGATAATTTCTTCAGGCAACTAGAGCCGATTAGTATTAAGGGTTGTAGGTCAAATTTCGCATAAAATTCTAAGCGTAAGCAATAAGTCCAGTAAATTTAAAGTTACTCATCAAACTAGAGAAATAGTTATTAAGGAAAATTCATTAATATAAATACAAATAATAATAAAATATATTATATACAATTTGAGTTATATATTTGTAATAAACTGTTGAGGAATATTCTAGAATCAAATAAAAAATAAAACCGTATATAATAACTACTTTGTGCACTTCGTACAATAGACTCGATATGAGTTTAATATGATCACTGGCTTTAATAATATAACATTTTTACAGCTTTCTTGTAAATAATATAAAGCTATATTTATCCAAGTTAAACAATAGTCCATGAGATGGGCAGAAGCTGGAAAATCTTGACGGTCATAATTTGATTATCTAATTTTTTTTTTAATTTAATTTTAAGTGATCAGAACTGTAAAAACACTAAGACACTAACCAGAAGGGGATTTAAGCATTATAGAATTTCTTATTTTAAAAAACTAGAGTACAGAATAGTATAATATGCAATAAGTGCGGTAAACGGCATTGAGTGAGTGTTTAATAAACCAATGACTTAAAAAGTTTACCGAACGTGTTGCATTGGCAAAACAACACGAATACATTCACTGACATGGCCGTCAGAATTGACAAGCGTGGGAAATATCTCCGAAAACATCCGATTGCTCCCAAACCCGTGCGGTAAAATCCCGGAAATGTCCGAAGTGGCTCGGATCCGTGGGAAACGAAACTGACGTGGTAAAGTGACGCTTCCCGCACGCTAGATCGGTGTATAATTAGGTATTTTGCAGACGGGAGTAGAAAAAAATCTTGGACAAACCGGTGACACATCTCACCTCACGGTACATCATCGGTTTGAAGAATCTATGCGAGATTAAGGAATAAAGAAGCAATGAAATTGTCTTATAATTATTAACCATATTTTCGAACCTGATTTATACTTTCGAGGACGTTGGAAAGTTGCATATAGAACGAGAATAATTGAGAGTATGTTGAATGGGAAACATAATGAAAGACATGAACAGCCGACTAAGAAAGGTTCCACCAAAAAATGTGAAAACTATAGAACAATCCCTTTGATATCGCACGCCAGCAAAATTCTCTATAAGATTAACCGAATAAAAATAATAAGAAATACCACCTGAGCAAGGCTTTGTTAAAGGAAGAGGACCAAATGTTCAATATTAGACAATTAATAGAAATATCAATAAAAATCAATTCGCCCATGCTACTTTGAGTAAAATGGAAATGCTTGTGGCAAATACTAAGAGAAACGGGAGTAGCGAATGACCCAATAAGTCTAATCAAGAACCTATTTGAATCAAATGCAGCCATAGTGAGAATAGATATCTACTCATCACAGACTTTCAATACACAAGGATGCATATTGTCCCCCAGGTTTTTCAACGCCTACGGCGAATGCATAATCAGAAACGCTATAGACGATTTTGGACGGATGATGTTGAACAAAGTGGAAAGTAGAAGTGCTACCTGGGATCCCTAGTAAGTAACCAGGGCGGGTCCGAAAAGGAAGTAAAAAGACGAATTGTAATGACATGAGGAGCCGTGGGCAACCTCCCCAGAATATGGAAAGATCGACATATCACAAGAAACACGAAAATCATGCTGAT